AAAAGGAAAAAAAAAAAAAAAAAAAAAAAGAAAAGAAAAGAAAATGGTTCACATCTCTGTGGCCTCTCTAGTCCAACAACTCTAAAGTTCATTGCACTGACCTACTTGGAAGAACAGTGCTTCTTGCCGATGGCCTTTCCTGGATCGTGTATACAATGAAGTCTTTATCTGAGGATAATATTCTGTATGTCAGGTCTACATTTGGTCAAAAATTCCCTTCTAAGCTTCTTGAATTATGCACAATTTGTGTTATATAACATTTTGTAAAAAATTTATTTATCAAATAACTTTTGTGCACCTGCTATGCACCAGGTGGTGTGAAATGTGGTGAGACTATAGAGGTTGTTAAGTTGCTGTAGTGGTGTGACTAAATAGGGAGAGGGAGCACAAAGCAGCGGTGGTCACTTCTACCTGGGGACATTTGGAGAAGGCTTCATGGGAGACCTGACACTGAGCTGGTTCTTGAAGGATGACAGGTGTCAATAGAGAGAAGGGAGAAGCGATGGGTGATTCCAGGCAGATGGTGCAGAATGAGTGAAGGCAAGAGGCATAAAGGGGAGCAGGACAAGAGACGGGACAGGAGAGGCAGGTGACAGACAGATCACAAGGGGCCTTACATGCCAAGCAATGTGTAGTCTAATCTCTATCATATAGCTAACGGGGAGTCATGGAAAGGCTTTATTCAAGGATGGAGCATGATTCGATTTGCAATTGTAAAAGATTACTCTTGCAGGAGTGTGGAGGCCTAGATGGGGGACAGCAAAACGTAAGACAGGGAGACAAATCAGGGCTGTTCCAACAGACAGGCGAGAGAGGCCGGGGGCCTAAAGTAAGATGGCAACAGGATGACACAGAGAAGAGGGTGGATTTGAAACATCAACGACATGTGTGTTGAGGGAAGGGGTGAGTCAAAGTTGAAACCCAGGGTCTTGATAGAGTTGCTGCAGGATGGTAATTTTTACCAGGATGGGGATTACTGGAGCAGGAACAGGTTTTGAAGGGAGGAATAGGAGCTCAGCATTAGCCATTATAAGTTTAAACGCATAAACGAGGGCATTCCGGTGCCGTAGTTGTCCAGTAGGGATGTGTAGTAGATGGTTGGCTAGAATGATCTGGAACTCAGCTGAGAAGTTTAACAGGCTGAGGACACAGCACATATTCAGGGGATGAAGTCGTGATAGCTGTGAATGAGCTTGTCCAGAGGACACTTTTAGAGAGAAAAGAATCCCTACGGAACCCTGGAGATACGGCAGCATTCAAAGGGCAGTCCAAGAAAGAAGAGTCTGAGAAAGAACAGCCCAGAAGGTAAGAGAAGAGGTAGGCTAATATAATTAAAATTATTTTACACTCTTACTGGGGACAAGGACATTGTAACTTAAACTCTAAATTAGTCACACAAAAGATTGATATCATTACCATATTTCAGGATCAGGGAATTGATGTAACATCAATGTCATTATTATCTCAAATGCTATTTATTATCTCAAATTTATTTATCTGTAATAAATCCAATTCTTCCCAACAGGACTTTTGTTTTCCCTGTTCATAAACCTGTCTCAGTTTTCCATGGGACCTGGTAATTTTTAACCCCATACCTGCTCACTGGGGCCTTTTCTAAATTTCCCATCCCGGTGTAGCTATCTTGAACACTTTCTCCACTGCTGCTCTCATCATCTGGTTCGATGTTGACATTTCTCAGTTCCATGGGATCCATTTGAGCTGTCGGCGCTTTCTCGTTCACACACAAGCTCCTTCAGTGTAAATAATATACTGTACCTTCAGCTTAAGGCTCTTCTACTTTGTGTTGACGTTCAGAACACTCTGTTCTGCAAACAGAACACAAAATAAATCATTATAACTTTTCTTTAAATTAGATAAATGAATATGGATCACCTATTTTGTATATACTCTCTGTAAAATGTGGAAAGGCAGTAAACTCCTGAACTTCATGTAAATATGTCCTGGAAGTTTCATTTAACCAATAAAAAAAAAAATGGGAGAAAGAAATTTACTAATAATTGCTAAAACAGCAGATATTTATGGAGTGTCCATGTATAATAAACATGGCAGGAGCTTTGCTAACCACTATGGGAAGAAAAAGAAATCTTAAGACATGGCAGCAGTCTTCAAGAAGATTTAGGTATTAGTAAACAGATTTCATGATTTAAAAAAAAGGTGGGGGGGGGAGTAAATGATTGAAAAATGAATATCTGCCAGGGCAGAATCTACCAGTGTCTCTACTAGCAGTAATCAGAAAGAAAACCATTGCTTTAATTTAATTGGGCATAAAAGAATTAACATCACCAAAATACTTGATAATATGCAACACAGGGTAGAATCAAACATAGGAGAGCACTTTCTAGGTACCTGGATCCTGAAGCCGAAGTTAAGAATAGTAGCAAAAGGAAGTACAGGTTTACCTTTGAATAAGCATTACTCACCATCTGTATCAAATTAAAATGTACTTTAACAGCAAAGAGATCCAGCATTCAGGCTCTACTCTGCCTTTAATTCACTAGATCTCAGCACAAGCCATCTAACTTCTTTGTACTTCATTTTTCTGGATTGTAAAGTGAAAAGGGGTAGATCAGCATTGTGTCTAAAAATAATGCCATGAATCCATTATATGCTGTTGGTACAGTTTCTCCTAAAATTTTTACTAATTTTTCTGGATTGTAAAGTGAAAAGGGGTAGATCAGCATTGTGTCTAAAAATAATGCCATGTATCCATTATATGCTGTTGGTACAGTTTCTCCTAAAATTTTTACTATTAGATTCATTCAATTATTGTTGAACCATTGTATTGGGAGAACCACACTCTCTAAAGGTGTGGTTCTGAAATTTTTACACAATCCATTTGATAAAAAAATCCTGAGCAGAAAAACTAACACAAGAATTGCTCTAGAACTCCCCAAATCCATAAATCCCCTGACAAACATAAAACTACCACATGGCAATACCTCCACAATCCAGTGCCATGGCAGTACACCTGTGGAAGGCAACTCACACCTGAAATAAGTTCACAACTCAAAATTATATAAGTGAAAAAACACACATGGAAACTCCCTAGTAGAAGTGTGAGTAGGCACAAGAAGTGATATGATTCACATCCGAGGAACTACAAATAACAAAGCCATTTAAAAGGAACTTTTAAATTAGTATAGTAAAAGTAGTAAAAAGATTCAAAATAAGAATAACAGAATAAGAACATTGCAAAAGAAGAACAAGCTAGTTTGGCAAAGTGACAAAAAAGGAGTTCTAAAAATAAAAATATATAGGGGGGAAAAAAACAGCTGAAGGGAAGGTTATAAAACTGGAAGATAGCTCTGTGGAAATCACTCAAAGTACAGCACAGAGAAATAAAGAAAGAAAATTATGATGGAGAAGTTAAGAGACATGGGAAAAAACAAGACTAAGAAGTTCAAACATGCCCTAATAGTCATTCTAATAAGAGAGAATTGTGAGACTAGAGAGAGATCAAATAGAAAGATATAATGGCAGAGAAATGTCAGAATTGTAGAAATACAGTAATTCTCAGAATTTAAAAAAAAACACCACAGTGTCTCAAGCAGGAGGAATAAAAATGAATCTACTGATTAATATAAGCAGTCTAAGTACATAACAGAAAAGATCAAGAGAAAAAGCTTAAAACCAACCAGAGAGAATTGAAGACGTGCACATGGTTAAAAGTAAAAAATAGAAACTCCTTTTTAAATGAGTACAAGAGTTTTCCTGACACAGTACCACTCTCACTTCCCAGCAGCAGCCACTAATGACAGTTTCTGTTTTTAGTTCTTCATTTAAAGTTAGCTATTATAAATTTAAATAATTCACTGAAACCTCTCTGAATTGGTTTATCAGCTCCAGACTGGAACCTACGATAGATAAGAAAATTAGCAGAGTTGTTTCCATCCTTCCTTCCCCCACACTCCTGATTATTTTAGTTAATGAAATACTATTACAATGATGACAATCATAATATTTTTATCTCACTCTATAAAACAATTAAATATGTCATAATTTGTTTGTAGGATGCTTCTAAATACAGAAAACCAATAATGAGCATTTACAACACTATGATTGTATAAATAGTGTGCTCTGAAGAACTAAGTAGTATATTTGGTTACATAATAAATGAAATATAATCCTATATTACCAAAACTATGAAAGCAGATTTCTCATGTTTGTTTACTCTCTGAATGGCTTTCTCCTTCTGGATCTTGCTCAGCTGCTAATGTTTCCTGAATCCCATTCCTTCTTCTTTCTTCAATTCATCTTGTATTATGCTGAAATACTGCCTTGAATAACTTTTTTTTTTCACACGATGTGCATATGTTTGTAAACAGAATTTCTAAGTTGTTTTGTGTTGGAAAACGTCTTTATTTTGCCTTCAAACTTTGATTGTTTAAATTCTAGATTCGGAATTATTTTTCCTCAGAATGTTGAAGATATTTCTCTCTTGACTTCCAGCTTCCACTGATGATTCTGACTCTCACTTCTTTGAAGATAACTTATTACACTTTTTTTTCTGAAGGATTTTAGAATTTTTCTCCTTATTCTTATCTGAAATTTCACCAAGATGCAATTAGATGTAAGTAGCTTTTAAAATTGATCTTATTCAACATGTGAAGGATCAATTAAAAGGTTTGTATCTTTTTTAAAAAATTGAAATATAATTGATTATACATATGTATGGGGTACAGAGTTGAGTATCAATACCTGTGTACCACATGTGGTGATCAAATCACGATAATTAGTGTATTCATCATTATACAATGTAATCATTTTTGGGGGTCCTTTACCAATTCCACCCTAACCTCCCCTCCCCCTCCCCCCTTTCCTCCTCTGTTCTCTCCTTTTGAAAGTTCAACATATTATTGTGATTGTTGTATCTTTGTTTCTTTCTTTTTCCTTGTTTATTTTTTTGGCACCCACTTATGATGAGAACATGTGGTATCTCTCTTTCTGTACCTGGCTTATTCACTTAACATAATTTTCTCCAAGTTCATCCATGTTGCTGTGAATGGCAGAAGTTCATTCTTTTTTATAGCAGAGTAGTATTCCATTGTGTATATATACATTTCCCTTATCCAGTCATCTGCCAATGGACATTCAGGTTGGTTCCAACTCTTGGCTATTGTAAATAGAGCTGCGATGAACATGGGAGTGCAGGTATCCCTCAGCATGATGATTTCCATTCCTTTGGGTATATACCCAGCAGTGGGATCACTGAGCCATATGGCAGTTCCATTTACAGTTATTCAATGAACTTCCATCCATTTTTCACAATGGCTGCACTAATTTACAGTCTCACCAACAGTGTAAGAGGGTTTCCCTTTCTGGGCATCCTCGCCAGCGTTTGTTATTCTCTGCCTGTTTGATAATAGCCAGTCTAACTGGGGTGAGACAATATCTCAATGTGTTTTTGGCTTGCATTTCTCTGATGTTTAGTGATGTTGAGCATTTTTTCATGTGTCTGTGGGCCATTCATATATCTTCCTTTGAGAAATGCCTACTCAGCAACTTTGTCCATTTTCAATTGGGTTACTTTTTTTTTTTTTTTACTGTTATTTGAGTACCTTGCACATTCTGTATACTAATCCCTTGTCTGATGCATAGTCTGAAAATACTTTCTCCCATTCTGTAGGTTGTCTTTTCACTCTGTTGATTGTTTCCTTTGCTGTGCAGAAGCTTTTTAGTTTGATATAATCCCACTTGTTTATTTTCTCTTTTGTTGCCTGTGCTTTTGGGGTCTTATTCATGAAGCCTTTGCCCCGTATTACTTCCTGAAATGTTTTCTCTTAGGAGTTTTATAGTTTCAGGTCTTATATTTAAGTCTTTAATCCATTTTGATTTTGGTATATGGCAAGAGGTACGGGTCTAGTTTCCTTCTTCTGCATATGGATGTCTAGTTTTCCCAACACCATTTATTGAAGAGGCAGTCTTTTCCCTTGATCAGAAAAATGTTCTACTGTTTTTTAAAAACACTTGTTCCCCTATATTTACTTCTAAAACTCTTTTTAGGCAAATATTGGGCCTCTTGATCCTTATCGCTAAACTTCTGCCTTTATTTTTCATCTCTTTATCTTATTGCTCAGTGTTCAAGAATATTTGATGCCACATCCAAAATAATAAATTTGATCTTCATTTATATCTATTTTATTTTTCAATCTGTCAATTACTTTTCTCTATCATGATTTTAATTTCTAATAACTTGTTCTTATGCTCTTCCTTTTTTTTCATATTACCTTTTTTGTTTGTTTCATGAATGTAATATTTTCTCATATCTTTCTAAGGATATAGATTGAAGGTTTTCAAAAGTTCCTTTTATTTCCCAAATTGTGTGTTTGTTCTGAAATTAGCTATTGTTTGTTCATATCGGTCCTTCTTTGTCATGTTGCTGGCTCTCTTTAAATTCTTAGTGATCCTAGGTTTTCTGTTTATATTTATGAATGAAGGAGTATATTGGTTAGCTTAGACAGCTAGTCCTTGGGGCTCCTCTGAAATTCCATAGGCCCATTTCACAGACGGGCTGCTCCCTTGCAGGTTCTGTGTAAATGGCTCCTCTGCACCTTGTCTGTGTGAGGAACATCCTGGAGAATGCCACTGCCAGATACAGCTGCCACTCTACGAGAGGTCAATGTACTTTCCTCCTGGTGGAGATTCCATTCCTGCTTGTTACATCTCTTTGTCTACTGTGTCCTACCTCAGGCT